GCAGGATTCACGTTCCCAGTGAGACTGCACACTGGTAAACAGTTCAGGTCATCACCAACACTGAAGGCAGAGGAAAACCTGAGCTGTTCCCTCCTCTTCAGGATCACCTCACAGCAGAGGTGCCCTGTGCCAGGGAGACTGTAGTAAAACCTGACCAGAAACTGCTCAAAGCAGAGGGTGAGCCAAGGGCCAACTCTATAGTCACTATCGATGGCTCCAGAACACTGTTCTTACTGGGCTCTCGGGGAAGGGATTTGGAAGGTTCCCACGTAATTTAGAAGTATTTATAAAGCATTCACCCATCTGTTATCCTACTGCTCTGACTCTGCAGTGACTCTGACTCAACTCTTCCATCTGGAGATGCATCCAGACCAACTGGAAAAAGCAGAGCAAACAGCATCAAACTCCCCAGCAAAACAAGAAGTCAGGAAAAAAGCTGTAATACTTTTCCTTTGAAGAGCAAACAAACAAGCAAACCCAGATTTTATTGTTAACAACACATATGCTGCCAGCCAGGGGATCAAGGGATCTGATGGGGAATGATGAATGAAAGGTGGCAAAATAAACCACATGAAAAAGCTGAACACATTTTCTGCATGGCATTTCTCTGCAGATGGACCAACACTTAGTGCCTAAGGACAAAAGGTTAACAAACCTTCACCCCAGAAGTCACTCTGAAACCTTTTCCCAGAAGGTAACTCAGATGGCACCCTTGACATCCTTTACATCAGCTGGCACTTCAGACCTCTCAGCTCACCAGATAGCAGTTTCAGAGCCTAAATCCTGGCAGCAATTTCCAGAAATAGTGCCCTGAATTCTTATCTATCAGTTGATTACATACCAGCTAAACCAACACTGGAACACCGAGGAAAGTGAAAAGACAGCAATCAAAATCTCAGACCTAGATGCCTGATCTTACTTCAGAAAGGCTATGGACCTATTAAATTAGTTACTGATTCTACTAGTCTTCTCTAAGCAGTGGTCCTTGGGAACTCCTCCGGACTGAAAAGAAGGAGCTTTGCAGAGTCAAATGATCAGCAGTGTTAACAGAACACAGACTGGCTCTAGCAGGTACCTTTTCAGACAGTCAGAGAGGACCTATCTATTGATGACTCTGGGGGCTCAGTAAAACAACTGACCATGTTCAAAACTTACCTACAGGCTGACTTTTCAAAGCTTTATAGAAGACAATACAACTACCAGACAATTCTTGTCTACGTACTTTTCTAAACCAAGGTTTGACCCATGCCAGACCCAACTGAAATCCCTTCATCATATTTTTCATCGCAGCTGATCATCCATCACAAGGGAACACTGTTCAACTCTCACTGAACCATGTCAGGGAACTATTTCCAATCAAATTTGCAAAGGACTTCACAGTTAAAGAACAAGACAATTGGCTTGGGTTGCTTAGGTGTATCAAGTACTGTGGCCCTTATGCAAAAGTTCCAGCACTTAAACTGTTGTGTCTTAACGTTCCAGGAGAAATTATTAAAACTTCTTGAAAAGAAACTTAGAAGTCCCTTCTTCAAGGAATAAATCAATAATTTAGCAGCAAACACTTGACAACATCTTTATAAACAAGTGTTGTTACTAGTGAATGCCTTTTGTCAAGCATCTCCCATGTCACTTCCCAGGTATGAAATTTTACAATAGACTTGTAAAATACAAGCCTTAAAAAATACAAGAAGTCATTATACATTCTGAAGGGATTTCTCACTCACTTGTTGTGTTTTCCTGCAAAACTCCAGCCTGCTGCCAGTTTTATAGCCACTCAAAGCCTTCCCTGCTCTTCATACTCTAGCCACAAGAGCTGTAAGACTCCCAAGCTGAAAATAACCAAACCCTGTGAAAGCAATAGCTCTGAAGAGAGATGTGTAGCCACAGATATCCTTAGGATACTTACAGTCTTCATCCAAGAATTTATACTGTATGTGTTTCTTGAAAAACTCCTGTATGGCTCTACAGATCTCCTCGTGTTGCTTGGAGATATGGTCGTAGTACTGGGTGTAGTCCCTCTGTGATATACCTGCCAAAAATTTTAGTTGGTTATGAAGAGCTCTAGGCATGCAACAAACACAGCAGGCAAGCTGCAGTTCCCAGGCACAGGCATGTGATCAGTTATGGGATGGGGCTCTCCCAAGCTGCAACCATTACCAGTGACTTACTCTCACTCTCCTGTACTCAAAGTACTTCCAGTAGGAATCTGGTCCTTGGACAGCTCTGTGAACCTCATGTCCTATGTACACACTTTGCCTATTTTGAAGTGAATTTCAGAAGGAACATTTACCTATGTTTAAGTTTTCAGTTCCTGTCTTTTCCCTTCAGTTTGATTCCCTCTGGCTACTCTTGTCAAAAGCCTTGTTCTGCACATCAGATGTAGGGACCACAATGTAGAACCATGCAATGAAAGGGGAAGAGGCTAAGCTTGCACAACAGCAAAGACGATAGATCTGAGCATTTAACCCATTTTTAAGTGTGGAATAATACCTGTCTGATAGGGCACCGGGGTGAAACCCTGGATCCCCACATCAACGAGATGGCACACAGTCCAATACCTCACTGCTCCCACTTGCTCCCTGGAGGGCTTTCCTGCCTGTCTGACACTAGATAAACTATCCCAGCTACATCACAAGCTCTTCATTCCAGACATCAGTTTGTCTCCAAGACAAAAGTCTAAAGCGACATCACAGGACTATCCCCTTGCACACACCTCGAGGGACAGAAGTTCTCACACAGGATGTGCCAAGCCATCGCAACACTCTGCTTGACAAATGTCAAACCAGGACCTGCCCCACCACTGCAGACTGAGGAACTCAGGCTGCACGGGGAGAGAGAACGCCCGAGACAGCCGTGGCAATGACTTCAGTTTGCTGTTCTGGCCACGCACGAACCACAGAGTTTGAATTTTACTGCAGGGCCACGGCTGACTACCTCCAGGCATGTGTGCTTTTCACAGAGTTCACATAAAAGGTCTATGGTGTCAGTGGAACTCTGAATTTTTATCACCACTGCAAAGCTGAACTCGGGTGGGAAAACCAAAACCGAGAGAACGTGGCATCTCAGGGGATGCAGATGTGTAACTGGAAAATCATTCACTGCACTGCCAGGATCACTCCTGAGGGTGATTGACAGGCTCATTAATGTAAAGAGCATGGGAACACATCGTGAGAAATCCTGGAGCTATGTTGAGAGATGCAGCCGGAGTGCTTGCTAAAAAAACGCACATTGGCAGATCCACTAGATTTCAAAACCTAGTAATGAAACGTACAGAGTGTTTAATTAGCCAGACATCTGAAAGTAAATATTACTACGTATATGTTCTGCAATAAATCTGCATTCAGATGTTTCAGAGGTTATTAGTGATGCAGATCTCTGGCAGCTGTGGTGTCCCAGCAGCACAGAACAGGACAGGACGCAGCCCTTCTCCCTTCAGTAGGCATTAAGCAATACCCAAGTTAATGGAGAATCTCTGCTATTAGCAAGATAAACTCTGCTACAGAGAACTGTAATAAACCTGCAGTTGGCATAAGTGGACACAGAACGGGAAGATGAGTGTGGGAGCACCAGAAGAAACGGCCAATAAAAAGGGCTTAGGAGAATGGTGCATGTTGACAGCACGTGGATTATCACATCTCAGAACACCTGTGTGCAGCTCCACGGGACACCCAGAGCAGGAATCAAAGAACAGGGAGTATGCTCTGCAATATTCAGAGAGGTGAGACAGGATGGAGCAACAAGTGGCTGACAGCTCCCAAGAGGTACAAAAGGGCACATCCAAAACAAGCCCACAGTCACCGTGCTGAAAAGGAGACGGGACTACACAGCTAATGTCTGTTGCCTTCATGTCATCAGGAATCCAGGCAGAACACTTGGAGACAAGGATCTTAGTGCTTGAGAATATGTAGGCATGGGACAATAAGCAAACCTGGTTGATATTAAACCCCAAACCTCACCTTCCTTCCCGTAAAGTCTGGATCTGCCGCACCACTGCTACAACGTTCCCTTGTTAGAAAAGTCCAGGCAGAATGACTCAAACATGTTAAGAACAAATGGGCACTAGCCCTGTGCTATTTGCATTTCTGCTCATCTCTAAGGGGTCCGTGGCAGACCACATGAAAATCAAATCCCAACTCCAGAGCAGTACTCAGCCTGAGAGCAAACCCTCAACTCCAGCACCTCTATGTGCACTGGATGTCTCAGCTCCTGCTGGAGTCAGCAGGACAGTCAGCACGGCCAGAGGAGTGTAATGCAGCCAAACAGACCCCTGAGCTGCCTGACACACCTGCTCCAGCACAAGGTGCCTGTTCTCCTGAAGCACCCCCTGCTCCCCGTGGGTCCCCTCACTGTGCAGCACCACTTGAAACCTTTCACATCTAGGATTTGGAACCAGAGTAACAGACTGACAGGTTTTCTGACCAAGCCACACTGAGTATCACATGGACTCAGACACCTCATGCACCTGTGGGTGTGTTCTGACCTCCCCAACTTGCTGCCCAGAACATCCACATGGGGCCACGTTTTAGCCACACAACTCTGTGTTCATTCCAGAAGTCAGAGCTGACACAATTTGCTCCCGAACAGAAATTCAAGAAACAGCCCCTGGGTGAAGTCGCTGAAGGAACAATTAAACTAAGAACCCTCCCCCTGCCATGGAGAGCTGTGCTGTGCTGACAGAGTCCCAAATGCAATGGAAAGCCAAGAGTGGCACACCACACTTGCAGCTACAGAAAGCAGAAACCACCAATGTCAGAAACGAGGTGTGACAGGAATTGTCTTCGGATTTAGCTCTCATTCAAGGAACCAGAGAAACTCCTCAGAATCATTTTGTCTCTAAGGAAACCCTTACCTAAAAGCTTGTTTTCCTTGACAAAGCATCTGAATTCTGCCCCAGGGATCAGTTCACACCATTTGCGGAGCACGAGCTAAAAGAAATGACAGAATTGTTTCAGAAAGGTAACAGGGAACTTTTTGTCAGCTGTTATGCCTTCTAGGCCTACAGCTTTGCTGTACCCTTTAAGATACTGCAGTTCACAGAATCATCTTAGTAACTACTTCACAGCAGTTAGAGCTACTGTTAATTTCAGAGGATCACAGAATGCTCTGGCTGAGAGGCACCTCTACAGTCTAGTGCTAGTTTAGAGCAGCAATGTTCAGACTGGATGTCAGAAATGTTTTCACCATGAGGACCTGTCAGGCATTGGAACAGCTCCCTCAGAGGCTATGCAGCCTCTGCCCACAGAGGTTTACAGACCAGACCTGATAAAATGCCAAGCAACCCCTTTTGTACTCACTGCGTACCTGGCTTCGAGCATGAGAATGAACTGGAGACCTCCTGAGCCCCTTCCCACCTTGATATCTTACACTCTTCCCCCTTGTACAGTATTTGTAACTGTGAAATCATTTATGAAACAGCTTCCAGGTTACATGAGTGATAAAGCATGGAAAACAAACCCTGCTGTACAACACAACAAATCTGCCATGGAATTGGCAGAAGTTGCTCCCAGGAGCTGCAGAGTGGGATTAAATTTACCCACATCACCCTCTATTCTGGTACACACCCAAGCAGAACTCTGTGACGCCTCTGGAGGCGCAAACCAGTTGAAATAAGGACACGGGGCAGAAATAGAAAGCAAACTATTGCAGTCAATAGGACAGACTGCCTGGTAATTAAAGCATCTCTGGCACTTTCTCAAGCTCCTGTGTTTCCTGAGCTGAAGTATTCAGATGGATCCATTCCTCTGAAGGCCTCAGCTCCTGCTGCTGCACACTGGGAACTCCCAACACCCCATGACTGCAGCAGCAAAGCCTCAGTGAGCTAAGATGACATTACATTGCTAACTGCAGTGTAAGCACAAAACTCTGTGCCAACTTTTACACGTCCTGTGTCTTTAAAGCACATTCGACAGTGCTTCAGAATAAACAGGGCTCATTCACTCCTCTGAAGCCCTTTCAGCCCACAGGACGGTGACAAATGGTGTATTTACACAAGGATTACTATTAGAGACATGACTGGATGCTACCACAAAAGCTCCACACTGACAGTTTCAAGCGTCTCCAGCTGAACATTTCAGCCTGGTAACAGACACAGGAAGCAAGAGATGACAGAGCAATGCAGGGTGTCCCCAGACACTGCAGCAAGCCTCTCCCCCAGGAACCTCCCACAAGCAGCACACCACCAGGAATATGTGACTTTCAGCTACTGAACTTGTCCTTCCTGTCAAAAACCTGACAGACACGGGAGATTGCAAGGAAACTTCACAAAGCTGAACTTTAGCTCACCCGATCTGCAATTAAATGAACTCCTTGGGACTGGAGCTCCCCTCACTGCCCAAGCAACAGCAACAAGCCAAAGAAAACGAGTTCTATGGACACACCCCCAGGCACAAACTGCACCAGCCTGGGAGCAACTCCTTTAAACCACTTGGAAATCACACACGGTCCTACCTCATAGTCCAAGGAAGGATCAGGGGAATCATCAGTACAATGAATAAACCTGGAAAAATAAGGCACAGGTGTCAAAATTTGCTTTACATATAAGATTTTAGCCACAGAGAGAAAAATAACCCCAAACTGTGCAACACAAGAAGTACTGGTGAATTATTTCCAGTGTGTACAAACCAAGCAAATCCAACACGTCAATAACATCCTCATTGTGACAATCGTGGCGGGGGGAAAGAAAGGTAAAATTCACCTCTTTCCTTTTAATGTGATTTGGCAGCACTTCAGCCTGGACAGGGACGTGGCTAAAATGAGTGCATTCACTGTTGGTTTATTTCTGACGGAATCAACAGTGCTGCTCCTTGCCCTGTGCTCTGTTAGGCTGGCATGGCTGAATTCTCAAAGAGCCAGATGACCCTGAGCAATCCCATCCAGTTTCACTGCAGCACGTTTCCCTGAGTCCTCTTAATGTTTAACTTGCCACAGCACACGACAGAGACACATCCTCGTGCCTCAGAGCGGCTCATTTCCATGAACAAAGGACACAGACCGGCACCGCTGATTCCACAGCACAGCATCTTTCTGAATGAAGAGCTTTAAGAAATACCCTCACAAACCTCTCCAGAGTGGGAATAAACAGAGCTGTCCCCATAGCTGCAAGCAGATGTCAAGGCTTTGTCCCTTGTGAGTAGCTGACTCTGTGTCTCCTTCCAGGAACCGCTGGGAACGGAGGCAGCTATAACCCAAGCCAACTTCCACGTGCCTTTTTGCTCTTTCACAGCAAACCCTGCAATAAATTCTGCAACTTTCATAAGGAATTCAGAGCAGAACATGCGTTTTCCTTCCACGGCTACTCGCTGACCTCGCTGGCCACAAACTGCTGGGTGCACAGAGCTCAGCAGAGGGCAATGGCTGAGCCATGACATGCCATGTCTCTCTGGTCTCTCTTGCAGTCCAGGGTCTCACATCCCCCCGCGAGCACAGCATCTGCACAGCTTTGCTCTGGATGAGCAGCTACCCCCAGAGCTCAGTCTGTATGCTGCCAACACAAATAGACTTCACACATTCTGGTGTAACTTTAATACCCACAACACGCAGAGAAGTAGGGCAATAGCAGAGAGGCTTTCCCAGACTGCTGTGATCAAACACTCCTAGCTAGCTGTAAGCCTATGTAAACAGATAACATCCTTCAGCTACAGCTGATATTCTCCACATTTCAGGTATGTCAAGGCAGCAGAAACAAACCCATGAGAGCTCACAGTTCTGCTACACTCCAATTTCCTCCCCTAAAAGAACATGTGCCTATCCTACTCCCCCCCTACAAAGCCAATAATAACCTGTATATAAGAAGGCAGCTGAAGTCCAGCATGTGTGGTTTTACAGCCCTTGCACACTGGGATCTGTATTACCTCCCACAGAATTCCATGCCTGAGACTGGGGTGCCTGCACTCTGCTCCTCTCCAGTAGCACACAGCCTTCTCCAGCAGCCAAAGCCCAGCCCTGTGCACGGTCTGAATTCAACCCTCCCATATTCTGGGTGAGAGCTGTGTGGGGAAAGACACTTCCTCTTCCCCTGTAGGTCAGAACACTAAATCCCTGGTGCCATTCCAAGCCCCACAGACTGCTCAGGTACTGCTGCCAAATCAGGCAAAACAATGAATATAGGCAAAAACACTTCAAGACACAGTAAGGGTATTTTTCTTGAGCCTCAATGGCACAGGACTGAGTGCAAATGAGGGAAAATGGGAGAACACAGCAAAAACCTTGAGGTTGTAATTTCATATTTTTACCAGCTTATTGTAGCATTAACTGTCCAACCACATCTGAGCTCAGCTATTACATACGGCCCTTTTATCACCAGAGGCAAAAGGCTAAGTGGGGTTCCTTTAACCCACACCCCATTCAGGTTTGGAAGTACTTGAGAGAACAAGCAGAAAAACTCCAGGATGCCCAGACAGAGAGATATCTGTGCTCTCTTTTCTGAAGCCTCAGAGAACTGTCATTTTGAGTACTGCTAAGGGCAAAGGGATCAAACTCTATTGCTCACAGGCCTGTGCTGTGGTCAACTGCTTGTTTACGTAGCTAGATGTCAAGAACAGAAGGATCAAGGCTTCTTTACCTGCAGCAGCTTTGTGTTAAACTCCTAACACACACACTTGACAACAGGACACACTACAAAGCCACGATGCAGTTCAGCTCTCAGCACTGAAAAGAGCCATTTAGGAAGGGTTCAGGATCTCCAGTGCTCATCCTGCTAGGAAAGCCACAAACTCCTCTGCCAACCACTGAGGTCATTCTGTGGGTAATGAGGAACTGCTATGACTATGGTGAGAACTGTAAGATTCATTCTGTCCTTGACACTTCCCTGCTGTCACCTCTTGGCATATTTTAAAAACTTAATTAAAAAAGAATAAAAATCAAAGGAGAAACTTCTAACGGCCTTGGAACTGTATCTTTATTCCTTGAATACTGAACCTTGCTGGAACTTTGAGGATGAAAAGAAATCAAAAATTCATGCAGTCACAAGGGGATCTTGTCCTACACTGCGAATTGCTAGGGAAAATGGGGTGAGAGTAAAACCTCAAGGAAAAATGTCATCATCAAAGACCTCACTTTCCACATTCTGCCTACCCTGAAACAGGTTATACTGAAGCCCAGACCAACAGCTCCTGCTCTTGCTAAAAGGCATCAGGAGTGCCAAGGCACATCCTCCTGCATTCTGTGGGGAGCACACAGGCTGCCACTCCTCCACACCTCGGGAAAGCTTCTTGACACCTTGGGATTCAGCACTGAGAAGCACGAAGTCTGTACCACAAAGGTAGGCAGAATGGTAGCTGGAAAGCAAGGACAGACATCTCCCAGGTCTTCAAGTCAAACAAGGAGCTTAGGAGCCTTATGGGCCAAACCTCAGCCAAGGGCAGATTTCCTCAGCTGAGTTCTCAGAAACTTCCATTCTAACCAAGGCCTAAACAAAGTGTATCTCCTGCTGACTCTCCATCATAAGCCAAAGGGCAATCCCTGCAAAAGATGTTCTCTGCATTAGGTAGCGCAGCGACGAGGCTGAACTTACAAGAGTTCCTATTTCCCCTCTACAGTTGTGATTTTTACAGAGATGAGAACAGAAGAACACTTTACATTAAACCATCCTTTGCTGTCCTGTGGAACAGGAACAGTCCCTGAAAGATTTTTGGGGCTACTAATGAGCATGATATACTCAAGCTTAGCTAATATGGTGCTATTAAAAGTGTAACTAACATTTCTACCAGCGTCAAGGTGAGCAACCCATCATGCCTTAACCAAACAGTCACCCACCCAAATAGTGAGGAAGAAAACGTGTTCTGAACCAAAACACTCGTGAGGGCTTAAAGGGATTTTTGTTCCAAAGAGAAGCTTCAATCATTTAGCAGCAGTCCCAGCAGGAAAGGGATGTTTTATCACCTATCCACAACGCTGAGCTCCTGAGAGCTGACACTAAAGCCTGGGAAGGATCACACCACACACAGGATTTTCTGTGAGCTCAGCTAAGGGAAGTGCAGCATCTGCTCTGAGGCAGAAACGGCACAACTGCATCAATGAGGGCATCACCCTGATGTCTCTGTCAGTTTATACCAAATTAACAAGCAGGAAAGTTAACTCATTCTGAGCTCTTCAGTGCATACACAGAGACCTGGGGAGCAGGTCCGAGTCTGGCTTAATTTCTGGATTGAGAACAGATCTTCAAACTGACATTGCAAAATGTTTACCATGTAATGACCCACAAAGTGGATTTTTAAGTTCATACAATTGCACAGAATACAAAACAACAAGAGAGGGTACAGAGCATTTCAGCTGTTACTGATGCAGGGCAAGAGACCTTTAGACCATACTGAGTACTAAAGGAAGAAGTAGAAATATAGTGCATTTATCCTCTCTCCAAGTAGCCCTTCCAAGGGATTTAGAAGTATTATAGAGGCAATTTTCATTTGTTCAGCACTCCAGGTTCCTGTGCCAGCTACATTTTTAATTTCTGCTTGCTCAAGCCTAGGAACTGGCAGCTAATCAACAGCATAATTAAGGACGACCACTGCTGTCAGTCAGCAATAATCACTGCACTGTTTGGGACATTCTGTACACACAACTCAGTAATTCAGAAATACCATGCACAGACTGGACAGTAACATGTGCTTTAATCACGTTAATAAAACAGGAGATACACAGAGGCTGAAGTGATTTTACAAATGACACACGTTCCCCTGGTCCTGAGTACAACCTCCACTGACATTCTGGGACCCGCAGGGCTGCAGGGCCCATACCTAAACAGAGTCTGTTCTGACAAAAACAACACCCAAACCCCAAACTTGTACCTACATTAGATCAGATTTTATAGAGAGGGAAATAAATGCAAGACATGTCAAATGAAATTTAACCTGTAGATTAGGTGATGATCCCACACCACGTCACCACCCACTGGCTGAGCTGTGCTGTCTTCAGCACAGTGCACGAGGAGCCTGAAGGCCTGAGCCACTGCAGTTTGAGGCATTGCCTTTCCCTGGAGGCTGCTCTTCACAGCAGGCTCAGCTCAAGGGAGCATGTCTGCTGCAGGCTGCTCTGAGTCTGGTGGGAGCTGAAGGTGGAATTACTGATGGCTCAGGCTAACACCCATGCTGTGAGATCTCCCACCACAGGAACCAGAATGTCTTCACTGCCTCTCTCACCCAGTCAGTGCTGACTGGAGAGGGCAATAGCTGAGGCACTGACTTTACCTAACAGGAGACCAAGCCTGACAGAAAATGCAGTGACTTGTTTCACTGCTGGTCAACTTATTCTGCCATACAGATGGCCTGAACTGAGAGCACACACACAGAGTCGCCACATCGAAATCGAGTGAGGCTTGCTAAACACTTGACTCTGTCACAGACTCACTAGAAAGTGGTTAACCAGACAGGAATTCTGCAAGGAGCTCAGGGTACGTTTTGCTGAGCCTCTGAGGACAGCAGAATACAAACTCTGTATGGGCTCCCATTCACAAAGCACACAGTTCATCTCAAACCCTCCAGACTCAGCCCTGAAAGCCACGACAACACAGGAGACACTGGATTTTAGTGCCCAACCCTCTGAGCAAGCCACCTTCAAGATACCCCATCTCTCAGGGGAAACCAGGGAAAGCAGCTCCTTGCTGAGGCAGCCAAGTCTCCTGGGAATCACTGTTCGCTCACTTCTCATCTTCCCTGTCCCTTTCATTCTCCATGCTCCCAGAATCATGAGCTCTCAATACTCACAATTGTTTCCTAAGTCCAGCATACTTTTCAAACTGTCTTCTCCCTCCTCCTCACTCCCTTCCCCTGCACCTCACAACGCTGCAGGTTAGACATGATGTAAAACCCAACATCAGAATTGGACTGCAGCACTGCACAAATGCAGAGATGAGGATGAGATGCTGGATTTTAATGCACCAACAAGCTGGGGCAAGAGAGTGCCATTACAGGAGCAAAAAAGGAAGGCAGACGCATGGCATTAGCGCAGCCATTTTCACAGTTTAGACAAGACAGTTGTGTCAGGTCCTAAGCTACTGAACATGAGATTATTATGCTTGGTAACCCTCTAAAAAGCACCTAGAACAAGGGCCCTGCATTTGACTGAGGCTCCTAAGTACTGCAGCAACATAAATAAGCATTGAATAACCACTGGAAAACAACCTCTCAGGCACCAAGCCACGGACTGCCTCTTAGAACTTCTGCTTGTCTGAAAACAGCAGGAGTAGTGATATTAACAAGATCATTAAATTCCAATAACTTCACCCTCTTTCAGACAAAGGCTGTACTTTAGGACTGAGTGAGAAGAATCAGATGCAGGTACTACAGGAGGAAACTGTTCCTGTATAATTAAATACTCTCTCAATGTGAGCAAATAAAATACACTCAAAGCATTGTAATTTTACCTGCAACTGTTATCCCTAGTCATGGTTCCAGGAGTGCATTGCTCAAGACCTGCCTTATGTTCA